AGAAGACCCCAAGAACTCCACCAAAAGTCTTCTAGACTTAATAACCAAATTCAGTAGTGTAGCTGGATACAAAGACAACATACAAAAATCAATAGCTTTTCTGTACACAAACAGACTCACTGAGAGAGAAATAGGGCAAACAATTCCTTTCATAATAGCATCCAAAAAGTTGAAATACCTAGGTATCAACCTAACGAAAGAAATCAAAGACCTCTACTCCGAAAACTACAGCACTCTGAAAAGAGAGATTAAAGATGATATCAGAAAATGGAAAGACATCCCCTGTTCCTGGGTAGGAAGAACCAACATAGTGAAAATGGCCATACTTCCAAAACTGCTACATAGATTCAGTGCAATCCCAATTGAAATTCCAGCAGCATACTTCACGGACCTTGAGAAAACAATCCAAATATTCATTTGGAACAAGAAGCAACCTAGAATAGCAAAAGCAATTCTAGGTAACAGAGACATGGCAGGGGGTATCACAATCTCCAACCTGCAACTATACTACAAAGGTACTGTGATAAAAACGGCATGGTACTGGCAAAGAAACAGACCCGAGGACCAGTGGAACAGGTTAGAATAGGCAGAAACAACTCCAGGCACACTCAGCCACTTGATCTTTGACAAAGGAGCCAAATACCCTCACTGGAGGCAAGTTAGCCTCTTTAATAAATGGTGCTGGAAAAATTAGGTTTCAACTTGCCAAAGATTAAAACTAGACCTATATTTCTCACCATGCACTAAACTAAAATTGAAATGGATTAGAGATCTAAATATTAAAACAGAAACAATAAATCAGTTGGAATATAAGTTAGGTAGAACTCTTGAAGATATTGGTGTAGGAAAAGATTTTATGAACAAAACCTCAGTTGCATGTGAACTAGTACAAACAAAAAACAAGTAGGATCTCTTCTTATTAAAAAAACTTGTGCACAGCAAGAGAAACCACCAGCAGTGTGAAGAGACAACCCACAATGTGGGAAAAAATTTTCACCAGCTTTTCCTCAGACAAAGGTTTATTATCTAGAATATATAAAGAACTTAAATCAGGCCTCCCAAATTTAAAGACCCAGTCCAAAAATGGGCATCTGAAATGAACAGACATTTCTCAGACAAAAAAGTAGAAATAGCAAATAAACATATGAAAAAATGTT